CTCATCCACCCTGGATTCCCAGTTCCTATCTGTACCAGTGTACATCCTCTGGTCTAGCCAGACTTGCAAGGTCGAATTCGTGTCATGATAGTAGGAGCGGGGAGGAAACATTTAGGAACTAGAGGAAAGTTGTATTTTTCATCGTTGCTACATCACTCTGACTGGCTCGTCTCCTCCCTGTGACCCCTCAGACGCTATACTTTTGATAGCCGCCTGCCACCACTCTTATGGCCCCTCCCTCTGCCCTTTCTGGCCCAGTTTCTCAGCTACCTCAGTGCCTGTGACCGGCTGCTGCGGCAGGGCTACGAGGAGGGCCTGGTGGAGGAGGCCATGGAGATGTTCCAGTTCTCTGAGAGCCAGGTGAGCAGGGCTTCCCACCCAGGCCCTGGGGAAGGTGGGACCACGCTTGGAGTCAGGCAGAGCTGCCTGCTGAGGCCCGGGGACCTGAATTTTGGAGGTAGGGGCCAACAGGAAGCACAGAGAGAGAGGCAGGGGTTTTATTTATTTTTATTTCATTGAATCAACACAACAAATCGTATCGAACACCCCCTTGGTCAGACACCCTGAGAGGCGCCATGAGGAGCCCAGAGAGACTTGTCCTCTCTGATTAGGGTTTCACCACTTGCACACTGGAAGGCAGGTGGCGGCAAGTGCCCATAAGGGATGAAGACAACCTGTTGGTTGGGGCTGAGCGGCTGTCACAGCAGCGGAGGGAGGGGCCAAGGAAGCAGGCAGTCGGGGTACAGAGGTGCTGAGGAGGGCTGGGGCCAGAAGGAGAGTGCAGCTGACTCCCCCTACCCCCAGCACCAAACACGGAGGGCGTGAGGGTGAGAGACCAGGATGGGCCAGGCTGGGGCTTTCCGTCCTTTGCAGAGGATGGAGCTTGGGACCCGCAGTCACCCCAGGAGTCCAGGAGCCAGGTTCACCTGGCTGGAGGCCCCACAGCTCCTGGGGTGCTAACTCAAGCCCTCTCTGCACCCCTCCTGTCCTCCCTGCACCTGGGCAGGCAGGGGACTTCCTGCGGCTCTGGGAGCAGTTCAGGGCCATGGGCTTCCAGCAGGACCGGGTCAAGGAGGTGCTGCTTCTCCACGGCAACCAAGGAGAGCAAGCCCTGGAGGAGCTGGTGGCCTGCGCCCTGTGACGCCCGCCCGCCCAATCCCTGCGCTTCCGCCTTGCCGTGGCCATCCTGGGGCAGGCCTGGCCCTCTGCCCTGACTGTGCTATTAAAATTACGAATCATAAAGTAATGTGCTCCTCTCACTGTGGATGGAATGATGCCGAAGGGGCGGGGCGGGGTGGGTGAGGTGTTAATCCCCAAAGCCTCAGCCTCCTGGGAGGTAGCTGACCAGGGTGGATGAGGGACTGTAGTTTTCCACGCAAGCTTTACCAGACCACCTGCATCAGACTCTTGAACCTGCGCATGTGTAACCGATGTCATCACGGGTGCTTCCTTTGGGTTCTGCTGGCTCCTGGCCTTGGTGTGGAAAGTGTATCTGACAGTTTTGGGTCCTGCTGGTGATTGACTCAGGGTCTGTTTTGACCTTAATTTCCCCTGGAAAATTGGGAACCAACTGGGCCAGGTCAAAAGTTTCCAGATGGGCCAGCTATCTTTGAGAATCCCCTAAGGAGTTAGTTAATGAGTCGCAGGCTCCAGGCTTGGATTTTTGGATGCAGAAAGCTTGGTGACGAGGCCCTGTGAAATCTGCTTTGTTTTTCAGTGAGAAGTTCTCTGGGGATTCTTACTCACGGGCCCTTGCCCCGTCGATCTGGGCACCCTTTTGCTCTAATGTAGGTGGTGCCAAATCAGTCCTCCTCGTTTGGAAAGTAGATGCATTGGGATGGTCGCGGTTTGGACTAAGCTGCAGCAGGTCAGGGCCTGCGTGTGCTCCCCTGCACATCCCCAGAGGTCAGCCAGATAAGATAACTGGTGAAATCAGATGTTCCAGGTTTGAAGAAAGCAGCAAGGAGTGGACATCAGTGTCCAGACCCCATATGCTAATTGCCATCATTGTCATACATTCCTCACCACCCCTTTAAAAACCCACGAGCAGCCCCCCTCCCCACCAGCCCTCCCCTGGCTGCTGAGCACAACTTCCCTGACCTGTTGGCCTAGGTCAGGGAACCTCATCCGGGAGCTCCCCACTAATAAAGCTATTTCTGTCTCCGCTCTCCCTTGTCCTATCAGTTATGTCTGTCTGTCTCCCTGTACCTCAGTTTCACCTTTACCGTGACCCCAGGCCTGCTCTGGAGGCCCCCAGGATTGAGGGGACCATTGCTGGAGAGGCCTCCGACCATGACTGCAGAGGTCACAGGCCATGACACCGGTGCCCAGCCCCTTCCCAGCTCACCTTGTGCAAAGGCCTGTGGCAGTTACCACACAATTAAACCCTCTGAGCCCGCTCCACCCAGCAAACAGGGCTGAGGCCTATGGGGGGAAAACGCACCTAGGACCACCTTTCTCGGGGCTTCAACTCAGCCACCTTGTTCCAACTAGTTTGGGGCTAGAGGCTTGGTCTGCTGAGTGCTTTCCACGACGCCTGATGCCTGCCGACTTGGAATCACATGAAAAATAGTCCTTGTGCTTAAAACTTGCTTTGAATAACTTACAGGCTCTGCCAACGATTTGAGAAAATAGACAAGATGACATAGAGTTAGTCATGCTTCTATTGCCAAAATTAAAATTGCATTTGGGAAAGGCAGTACAAATTAAAGCTTCATTTTATTTATTTATTTTTATTCTTAAGTTTTTATTATTTATTCTTTTACAATTTCAGCATTTTCTCAGTTTCATTAACTCATCAACCCATCTCTTGGTAAAAGTGAATAACCAACTTCATTATCAGGTACTATTTTTCAAAATAAAGCTTCATTTTAATGATGCAATTTAGATCCAAAGCTATATGTTCTGGTTAAGGGAACTTACTGACCTTGGTCTATCTTATTAAATCCCCTTGATCAAATGTAGCCAGATAACCAGGCCCTCATTCGTGCCCATCAGACTCCCACCCATGCACCCACGTCACTCCTCACACCCTCTCCCACTGGTTCCAAACCTTTCCATCCTAGAAAACTTTTGCTTGATTGAAACAGAGACATCACTGGGGGAGCTGTTAGTATAATTTTTTCCCCCTCCCAGAGAGTAGAATAGAATGGTGTCAGAGGGCTGGACTTTGAAGTCAGGTCTGAACTGAAACTATTACCCATCTCATCTCCAACTAGTTCAGTGACCTTTGACAGTCACACACCCTCTGTTTCAGCTGTTCATCTATAAAAAACATGCTAAAATGGCCCAATTTGGATGTCTGAATGAGGTAGTACACACAAATGGTGGCCCGCTATCTAGTGCATTTTTGTTTATACATGCTTCCTTCCTGCCTTGCTCCTTAATCATTACTATCCAGGGCTTTAAACCAGTTCATTCTGGTTTGACTTCCTCCTGAATTTGCATTTCTGCGGGGGGCGGGGGGGGGGAGGGGGGGCGCCCCATCCATAGGTATTTGCATTTCTTCCCAATCTACCTTTTAGCACTCTGTAAGAGTACCTAAGAAGCAACCCGGTAGAATGTAGATTCAGAATCAGTGCTTCTGCTACTCTCATTACTATGAACCTCCTCCTCATTACTAGTTAACAGATCTCCGCATTTATAACCAGGTTTCTCCTGGCAGAGCCTTGCCCCAGGGACAGCCTCTCTGGTCTTCAGGGTGTGAAAAGGTGATGAGGGCAGAGGACTCAGGGAGTGTCCTCTGGGACACAGGCAGTGAACGTCTTTGGCAGCCCACCACAGAGGGCAACGCGCAACCCTAAAGAATCTGCAGCTAGTGATGCACTACACGCTATCGGGTTGTTCAGGTGCTCCTGACCCCGACCATGGTATCTTCAGTCACTTCATGTGCCGTGAATGCTGGACATTGACTAAGGCCGACCCAAGAAGAATCAATCCGTTTGAGTTATGATGCTGGTGAAGAATCATGAGGCCCGCGGACTGCCACAGAACAAACAGATCCGTCTTGGGAGAAGTACAACCAGAATGCTACTTCGAGCCGAGGATGGCAAGGTTTTCTCTCTTGTGCTTTGGACCTATTATCAAGAGAGGCCAGTCCTTGTTGCAGGACATCAGGCTTGATATGGTAGAGGGGCTGCGAAACCAGAAAGGCCTTCAAGAAGATGGAGTCCCACAACGGGTGCAGGCCTAGGGGCACTTGTGAGGATGCGCAGGGCAGGACCCGGCAGTGTTTCCTTTGTTGTGTGCAGGGTCGCCCTGGGTTGGAACTGACTCAACAGCGCCTAACAACAACAACAACAACAGACACGGGGCTGCTATGAGTCAGAATAGACTTGATGCAGTTGGTTAGGTTTGGAGTTGGTAAAACAAAAACTTACGGCCATCGGGCCGATGCCGACTCATCATCGTGACCCTATCAGACAGGGTAGCACTGCCCTTGTGAGTTTCCAAGACTGTAACTCTTCACAAGAAGCCCTGCGTTTCTTCCGAGGATCGGCTGTTGGCTTCAAACTGCTTCCCTCGGTCACAGCCCAGTGCAACTACACAAGAGTTTTGTTGTGTTGGGTATCACTCTACACAAGAGACATTTCTGTTTTAGAACAAAAGGTCAGCAGGGCAGGCCTGCAGGACCTTGAGTACCTACCTACCTTTGCTACACTGGATGGAAGTTCCAATAAAGCCAGGGTCCCCGACAAGGCTAAGCCGACAGCGCTGGCACAGCTCCCCGCCTCACCTCTGTAGGGACCTTGGTGACTTGCTTCTCCCGAGCCAACCTCTCCCAGCAGACATCCTTCTCCTGTACCAGCGCCAGTGCCAACTAGGCGCCTCCAGAGCCCTTTGCAATTTTTGATTTCCCAACAAGCCAGGCAAGCCCAGGCTTACTTACTAATCTGTAGTAAACAGTTTCACCTTTTCACTGCATCAAGATTCTGCTTTTCGGTATGGCTGGAGCCAGTCTCTCTCCCAAAACCCACACACCTGCCTACAGAATCCAAAGCTTCTTTTCAAATGTACACCCCTTGCATATTGAGTATCCCAGCCCCGGTTGCTGGGGGAGGGGTTGATGGGTGAGTGAGTATGTACTTCCTTCCAGGCAGCTCCAAGGATCTGGTGCCGCCTCCTCCTGGGCCCGCCTCCCCTCCTTCTCAACTGTTTCCTTCCCTTCTTCTCCGGGATTAGAGAATTCCTGTGTTGACTTCCAAGGGTACGCTCTACCTCATAGAAGGGTACTTCCCGGAAAGGGCAGTGCTCAACTCAGCAGTGCATCCGCGGGGCCCCCCAAGACGTGCGAGCTCTTACCTTGTCGGTCTCTTATAGTCTGTCCTCAAGGGGAGCAGCAGGCCTGAGATGTGTGTGCCTGTGTGCTGGGGACAAGGGGTGACCCTGAGCAGGGCAAGAGTTGGTTGCTCTACTCAAGGGCAGCACCCACACAATCTGCCGTGACCCTTTAATACAGTTCCTCATATTGTAGTGACCCCCCCAACCATAAACTTACTTCTAACTGTAATTTTGCTACTGTTATGAATCGGGCAGCCCTGTGAAAGGGTCGTTTGAGAACCACAGGTTGAGAACCACTGCTTTATTCAGTAGTCAGCCCCATGCGGGTCTCTCCGAAAAAGAAATCTCCCTGTGTCCTGGGGCCCACAGCCCAGTGGATAAGCCAAAACGTCCACCAAAGAGCCATTCATTTCCTAGTTGTTCTGCCCCGCAAACCTTCCATGTATACCGGCTGGCTGACAGGCACTGCTGGGCCAGGGGTTGGGGGAGTGCCCAGTTCTGGGCTGGTGGCTGTTGAGAGCAGGTTGGTACCTGTGCAGTGATGGTTGCAATGACAGCAGAGAGACAGCCAGGCTTTGGTCCAAGGAATGTCTCTGGAGGTAGCTCTTTGCCACCTCCCCCTGGGGGACTGGGTTCTTGCCAGCACCCTTGCCAAGCTCAGCCCAGCCCAAGCCCCACCCCTGTCCTGCCTCCTGCTCTCCTGGCAGGCGGCCTGCCCTTCTGCCCATTCTCCTCTTGAACCTATCCTTATAAGGCCACCCACTCAGGAGATGTAGGCTCTGTGTCTCCTGGGCTGTGGCCCACACAGCGTCATCTGCCTCTGCCCTGCTCAGGATTTTTAAGCCACCATTGATTTATTTGTTCGGTGTCAATAACACATGTCCAGGCTGATCAAAGGCATGAACTGAGTGACGAGATGGGGAAATGGGAGGGAAAGAT